TGTTAAATTGAAAAAAAAAAAAAAAAAAAAAAAAAAAAATATATGTAAACATAAGTATTTGGGCTGATTATTTAATATCATCAAAAATATGAACGAAAAAGACAATTTTATTTTCGTTATCTTTTATACTAATGGTTTGAAACCATTTTAATAAAAGCTAAAGAAAGTGTTAAAGATTTAATTGATTTTTAAGTGATTTAGTTCAAACCTTTAAATTGTTTTCAAAAAAGGTATTTGAAATCTAGTATATCGAATTCCATGTTCAGTAAATGCCGTTTTGAATCATCCTTAAAACTTTGCAAAGTGCAGTTTAAAACGAAGTTTTGTTTTTTACTAAAGATTGGAAGAAATTCTTTCCAAACTAAAGATATTGAATTTGGTACGAACTTAATTTAAGAAATTTTATGGGAACCACAAAGTTATTCACTGAAAATTTGGTTGGATATTTATGGGAGATTTCATTAAAGTAGGATTGAAATGTTACTGGAGAAAACCCAAGTTTTGCTTTAAACATAAATATCATTACTTGATGAATATTAAGCTTATAAATATTTAAAGCTCCAAGCTGACGTAAGAGAGGTTCGCATTGTGTTTTTCTATTCGCCCCAAATACTATCCTGCAAGCATGTTTTTGTTTACTATAAATTTTTTTGAGTTTAGTGTGATTAGTGCTACCCCAGGAAATGTTACAGTATGAAAGATAGCTGTGTTTAAACGAAAAATATAAATTTTTTAAAGACTCGTTATTAAGAAAAGGTTTCGTTCGGTATAACATGGCAATATTTTTTGAGATCTTACCTTCAATATATTTAATATGAAATTTCCATGACAATTTTTTATCTAAGAGCACTCCCAGAAAGTTTGTAGTCAATTCCCTTTTAATTATTTTATTATTGATTAAAAGATTGGGTAGTTTAAGAGGAATATTCTCGGCTTTACTAGGTTTATGGAATAGGATAAATTTTGTGTTCTCTACATTTAAAGATAGTTGGTTAAATATTTTAAAAAGAACAGTAATATCTTTGTGAGAATAAAACAAATTAGTGTCATTTGCAAATAAGATAGTATTTAATATTTTTGATGATAAGTATAAATCATTTATATAAAGTAAGAACAATAACGGTCCTAAAATAGAACCTTGGGGTACTCCACAAGTTATTAAGTTGTTTTTTGAGTCTTTTGAATCTTTAAGTATAAATTGCTTTCTGTTAGTTAGGTATGATTTAAACCAAAGTAAACTTTGATTTTTAACACCATAGTTTTCTAATTGTTTCAAAAGAATTTCATGATTTACTGTGTCGAAAGCTTTGGATAAATCAATAAAAACCCCTTTTGTATAGCAATCACTATTAAATCCATTTGATATATGCTTAACTAATTCAACTATTGCATTGTCAGTAGAATGATTTTTTTTAAAACCGTATTGATTATTATATAAAATCTTATTTTCAGATAGGTATTTATAAAGTCTGTTGTACATAATGCGTTCAATTAGTTTAGAAAAGCAGGGTAAGACTGAGATTGGTCTGTAGTTTGAAATATTGGTCTCATTGCCAGATTTGAAAATAGGTGTTATTTTTGCAATTTTTAGTTTATCTGGAATATGATCTGATTTAAGGGAGAGATTAAAAATATGGAATAATGAGGGTTTGATAATATCAAAAACAGATTTAATTACATTAACATTAATTTGATCTATACCTGCACTTTTATTTTTTTTCAGACTATTAAAAGCAGTATGAAGTTCACTTTTGGTTAAAATCGGTTCTTCCATAATTAAATCAGTTGTTGCAAGATATAAATCAAATTTTTTTTGACCAATTGGAATTTTCGCTGCTAGGTTTGGGCCAACATCAAGAAAAAAATTGTTTAATTTCTCAATAATAACTTCTTTATGATAAATCATTTTTTCTCTCAATAATAAGTTTTTGCGGTAAATTATTTTTTTCAATTTTATTTTTCCCAATTAAGTCTCTAATAACAGTCCACGTTTTTTGAGGGTTTCCTTTGTTTTTTTCAAGCAGTTTAGCATAGTAGTTTACTTTTGATTGTTTTTTGGTTTTTTCAAATAAATTTTTATAATTTTTGTAATTAGTTTCATTTTTATAAGTTTTATTTTTTGAATAATTATCATACAACTTTTGTTTTATCCTTGATGATTTTAGTAGGCCTTTGGTCATACCTTCGTACCGTCATATGTCATACAAAGATCATCTGATTATACTAAACTTAACGTCTTTAGAAACCCGTCGCATTAGGAGAGATCTGATACAGGCTTATAAAATTATTAACAATATAGACATTGTCTCATGGAGTGAATCCCATGTCTTTCGTGTTGGGGAGTCAGATAAAATAAAAACTAGAGGACATCATCTAAAAATGGCACCAGTTTTTTAGGCACCAGTTTTTTACTAATCGAATAGTGAATCATTGGAATGCATTGCCATCAGAAGTTGTATGCGCTTTATCAGTTAACAGTTTCAAGTCTAAGCTTGATGCAGAAATTTCAAATAATCCGCATAAGTATAGAGATAATAACTAAAAAAAAAAAAAAGGAAAAAAAAAAAGTACAAACTTATACTTTATACTGTATATCTTATTGTAAACTTTTATATATTGATATGAATAAAATTAGTGTACGAAGTAGATAAGGCTGCCAAAACCGTAGGTTATACAGGGAAACCTGTTCCAGCAATTTTTCTACTACTACTACTACTACTACTACTACTACTACTACTACTACTACTACTACTACTACTACTACTACTACTACTATTTCATATCCTTAAGAGAGTGTTACCAAGATAATGTAAAATCTGAATATAAGGTTTTGATCAATACCCAAAATTTCAGCTGTTTGTTCATATGCTGCAAAAGCACGCTTTACGATATTGTCATTATTGATCGTTCCAGAACTTCTCTTAGGGAAATCAACAACAAGTCCCATTTTGTTCATAAAATCACTCTGAATCTTTTGTTTAGCTGAAGATGCCTTTTCTTTGTATTCTTTAGATTATGCTAACCACTTTCTTGTTTTTTTTTATATGCAATGTGCAAAACCATCTCAAAAAATTGAATCCATGCATGAAGAATGGAATGACCATATTTGAATTCTCTGTTAGTATAACCTATATGAAGGATATCAAGACTATTCATTACTTTTTGAAAAGTTGGCCAGTAGCACTAACAAAACAAGCCTTACATGTGAGTGTCATTGTTTTTATTGCTTTGTTGTTCATTATCAAGTGCTTCAGCACAGGTTCCTGAATTGCACAGATTCTTTGCAAAGTATGAATCATTAAATCTTTTAAAGAAACTGAAGTTGAATAATCCTTCACTGTTATATTTGCAGAATAATATTTCAATTTTGCATCTCTGACATCATTGTAAGCGGGGTTGAGGGTATATATTCTTTCTCCAAGGCTCCGCTTCTAATCAAATGATAGGAAGCTTTTATCAGATTGACATCAATTATTAAAGCCAGTCCTTCGTCTGCTGAATATATAGTTGCTTAATCTGTACTTTAAATATTTAAAAAAGTTCTGGGCAGCACTAACAATAGATTCATCTCTAAATTTTTTACGAGCAAAGAATACTAAAAATAATTCACTGGTTCGATGGGATTCAATTAAGCAAGATGAACGCTGTTTTTTAGTTTAATAAGAAATATTATCAAATGTAACTGGTTTTCAACCACGTTTACTTGCAATTAGTTTGTTGTTGTTTTTTTCTGAAAATTAAATATTCATTGAGCCAATTTTTCAAAACTTTTAACAGTATAGTTAGCAGATTTCCACTTTTTTTTATACAAGTAAACAAAATGTTGAACATCATGTCTTGAATCAATGTCTATAAATTCAGCAAATTTTGGCTGAATAAATTTCAATATATCTTCAGTAATATTTTGTTTTGAAATGCTAAGATTATCTTTTTTGGAGAAAATTATTAATGTCTAAGTTTAATAAAACCATATTTAAATAATTCTTACAACAAATATTTTGTGTTTAAAAGTTTAATGTTATAATATATATTCCGCATGCACTACTAATTCGTGTTAGTAATTAAGTTACTGCAAGTGTTAGTAATTAAAATTAAAAGTAATTAAATTACTGTCAGTGTTAGAAATTAAATTACTGGCAACTACCGAAAATATGATGTTTATATGCTATGCAAAGTAAGGTAACCATAGCAACCAAAACAAAATAACCTTTTAAGAATCGTGAATCTCATTTTAATACATACTCCCAATATTTTACACCTAGCGCAAATAAAATACTGTTAAAACAACGTTAATGTAAAAATGAGTTGTTGCTATGCAAAATTCAGTACCATAACAACCAAGTTAAAACTTATATAAAATCTGAACGGGTGTTAAAGAGGACAATTAAAACTTGATTGAAGCATCATATAGCTTATATAAATATAAGACAGCACATGGCAAAATATGGTAGTTATTGGTTATAGTGCGGCAAAAAATAAATTTCATGAAAATTTTTTTTTTTTATCTGTAATTTTCAAAGTATAACTGAGATAACATGCTATGACATATTTATTTCATACATTGGTTTTTCTTATCTCTAAATATTATAAAATAACATGTACTAATTATTTGATTCAAAAACGTAACTGTAATTGAAATATAACACAGCGTTAATATCACCGTAAAACTTATTTAGTTTCTTTTTTTTTTAAATTATAATTTCAATATTCAAATGCTAAGAATCCTGGCAACTAAGGGATTTATTATAAATAAATTATCAATAAAATTCTCCTAATATATGTAGATACTAAAATTAAATAAGTTTTTAAGATTGGACAACTAAACTTTTTCTCATTTTTCCAGCTACTGGCCTACTGTGCGGCGACAAAGGAATTTTAACTATTGAAATTCTAAACAATCAATCAAAAAACATTTTACTGAGTTGTTGCTATAGGCCTCTGAACGGTGTGGCCAAGAACATAAACATTTTTGAGAAAAACCTTTTCAAAAAAAGACATCCTTGAAAAAAAAAAGAATTTTATTATTTTATTGATTTCAATATGAATTGCTTCCACTTCCGACATTAAAGTTTAACATTTTTATGACTCAATTTAAAATGGGAGCCGATTCCTTTGATAAACCGCCTGACCAGAGTATCTCCAAAATCTGCATAACATTCTAACAACTGATATTTTTAACAGTGACTTAAATAAAGGTATAGCAAAAACAGACATATCTGGCCATTTCCATATCTTTTTTACCATAAACTTCAACTCTAAAATGATGAAAACAAACATAAAAGTTTTGTAAGAACATGGACTTTAGTGATAACGCAAACAACATTTATGATAATTTTTAAATACATTTTACTCTGTTTATGATGCTGATTTTCCTTTATATGAAAAAACAATAAATCAAAAAAACATTAATTCTCCTTGGGTTACCAAAGATTTAAAAAAATCATCAAAAGTTAAGCAAAAATTACACATAAAATATCTAAAAAAACAATTATAATTGTTAACGCTCCAGGGAAATATTAAAAGAAATTACCGGTAGATTAAAATCATGCTCAGGTTTCCTGCCGTACATGATCAAAGTGGATAATAATAATATAAATAATTCTCAAACAATTGATGATCTTCCCATATCTCATTATTGAGTCACGTCCGACCCATCTCATCCATTCCATCCCGACTCATAACGTCATATAACGTTATAACGTCAAATATATTCCGATAATCTTTTTTTAAAAAATTTTTAAAAAAAAAGATTAATATTTTTTTTGTTTAAAGTTAATCTAGCGTTATAAAAAAATATATAAAAAAGCAAATGTTTTTAATTTTATACAGATGGAATCAAAGAACAAACCATTACAACAGTTCGATAAACCAAAACTTGTTGCAGTTGTAAAACCGTACAATTCAGAAAAACCAAAACCAAATCCGTATATGTGCGATTCACATGGTAATCAAATACATAGTTGGGAAGTTCGTTAAAGCTATTATATTTGTTATATTTGTTTTTACAAACAAATATAACAAATATAATAGAAGTTCTTTTTGCATTTTTAAATGGAATTAAATTTTATTAAAAAAAGTGGTAAACGAATATGCAAGTTTTTTCAATGTGTTGGAAACTTTGTTAAACTTAATGCAATAAAATTATATAATTACTCAAAATTGGGAAAGATAGCAAAATTGTTGTTACTCGTTTCTGGAAAGATTGCAAATTTTTTGTTAATCGTTTTGGTGTTTACATATGAAACACTCGTTGAATTGATCTATTTGACTGTGTTTGGCTTTATTTGATTATATACTCTCGAGTCCATAATTTAAGGAAGGGGGAGGGGCGTTTATTAATTTTCGAGAAACTTTGCCACCCACCCTAAGCTTTTTAAGACCCCCCTCGCGTTTATTAATTTTTACTTGTTATTAACAAAAAAATGATATCTAAAAACTAAAAAAAAAATCAGCTTTAAAAATTAAAAAATATATACTAGTTACTGATAAGTAATAAAACTTTCAGTGTATATTCTGCCCCCCCCCCCGGTTTATTAAATCTTGACTAAACTCCCCAACCCCACCCACACTTTTATTACCCCTTCCTTCTTGTATTAGGAAATTGAGAGTACATAGATTAACAGATATGGAATTAACAGTCATGGAAATAAACAGTCATAATAACATAAATTAACAATCATGGAAATACTTATACGGATTATCTTATCTATCTATTTGTCTTAAATTTTTTAATAAATGTCTTAAATCGTTTTTTCTTCGAAATAAATTATCGCACTATTAATGTACCCAAGTTTGACTATATGTTGCAAATTATTTGAACACAGAAATTTCAATTTTTAAAATTCATTCAAAACTTTGCAGACATCATATCTGTAAATTTACTGAAAAAATATTTTAATTATCGAATTGAGTAGGCAATGTGTGGATTGTCAACAAACAATTTTATACATAATTTGCCTTGGCTATTCCGTTCATAAGTTAGACAAAATTGTCTAACTTACTTAACGAAGTGCACCAACGAGAAGGTAAGCCATAGGACTTTGCACTCCATCAGTGAGCTGTCATGTTGCCTAAGGTTAGCCCTCCATTTCTGGATTCTTTCCTTTACTTGATAGGCAGTTCATGTAAAAGTAATAGTAAATTAGCCGAAGGTTACCCTTCAAGTTCTGGATTCTTTCCTTCACTTGATAGGCAGTTCATGTAAAAGTAATAGTAAATTAGCCTAAGGTTAGCCCTCCATTTCTGGATTCTTTCCTTTACTTGATAAGTAAAAGTAAAAGTATTTTTGCATAAGCTTTTTTTTTTTTTTTTAATAATAATAATGTGCAGTTAAGCTGCAAATAAACAACAACAAATAAACAAAATTGGTACAGATAAACATATCAGATATGATTCATACTATTTATAAAGATAAAAACCACAGAACTCAAATTCAGTAAAAATACTTTATTGGAACATAACAATAAAAGAAACAAGATTAATATATACTATAACATTATTCTAAATTTATATTAAATAAAATTACCTTGCAATCCTAGCTACAAAGAATAGGATCACCTTTTTCAAAATCAATTAATAAAGGAAATGACCATACTTCATCAGGTTCTTTATCATACTTAACAAGGTATGTAGTTTGTCTACCGTTTAATTGATCAATTTGAACCAATAGCGCACGTTCCCAAGATACTTCATGAGCATCTTCTTCTCTAACATGATGTTGTATAGAAAAACCTACAAAATCAGATGGATTGTTAATAAATTTTGATAAGGAGTGCTTTTTTTGTTGCTCTATTAATTTGTTTAGCCTTGCATCTTGAATTTTTTCCATTAATTCTTTTTTTTTTGTTTTCAACAGCTGCACCACGTATTGTACGAGGCTTTAAATTATTACTTATATTAGTTAAAGATTGTTTGTTTGGTGTTAAATTTGCTTGAATAACAATAAGGAGATTTTGATATAGTTCCTCTGAAGACAAGTTTATTCTTTTGCTTCCTTCTACCTTTGTTTTACAAAAAAGTTTTTTGTCACAATCGACATCTAAGATTATGCGATAAAAGTTAAGTTGAGCAAGGAGTACTTCTGATTTCAATGGCTCTTCTAGATTAGAAACTGTTTCCTCTGCTTCCTCTAATGTCATCCATGTCCTTACATTTAAATTTATCAAATCATTACAAGCTGCAACCTTTTTATGTTGTAGTTTAATTTCTTCCCGATTTTTTTCTTCTTGCTTTGCTCGAAGGTGCATAGCTTTATCTTTTTTAAGAGCTTCTTTTCTTTCATCATATTTGCTTTTCATTAATGTTACTTTAGTTCTTGAATATTCAAGTAATTGTTTTCTTTCTTCATTTGTTTTACCATTAAGCCATTCTAATGTTTGGTTCTGAGACCACATTGTCAAATGTGCCTGGATAGTTTGAACATTTGCATTGGGTTTTGTGCGAAACATTAAATCCAAAATGGCAAAGTCACTTTCTGATGCTTTGTTAGTGACAGGGACATTAGAAGCAGCTTCAGAAACTGAGTTAGATGGATTCCAATATTTAACACCTGGTAACTGATCAGCACACTGACATTCCAAAATAACAAGAATCACATGGAAAATAATTTCAAGTGATTGCACAGTTAAAGAATCAAACACATCATTTTGAGTGCATTCAAACAGTTTGGTGTAAACCACATCTTCATGAAGAAGATTGGTATCCTCAAAAATTATTAAAATAATAAAGAAGATGCATCCATACAAACAGATAAAAGTCTAAATTTTAAGCGAAGTAGGTAGAGGTTTAAAAATAAAATACTATCAAGTGATTCGATAGTTCGCCACATTGGACCAGTAAGTAGCTTGTCAACAATACTTCAGCAATGTATACAAGATTTGTGATGTCTTCTTTAATTGCTTTTAATAAATTATTAGGGTTAGGCCAAGCATTAAGAAATTTTAGGGCAGCTGCATTGTAATATAAAATATTAAAACGATTTCCAATAAATGGAACGAAAAAAGATTTATCATTACGAGAAGAAAGAAAAGAATTAAACCATGATGCAACACCAGCTTCCTCACTACCCCTTAAATGAAATGCCTTACATGAGGTACGAACTAACCTTACAGCACCACATTCTTTACCACTAAAAGCAAAAACAGTTTCAAAATCATTTTGAAGCAGAATTTTTTCAAAAGAATTCAAAACCTTATCAGTTTCAGATGCAAAATTAGCGAGCAAATGAAGTTTACAGAAAAAATTACTCATGTCCTTCATATTGTCTTTGACATCTGAAGAAAGCAAATCCCAGTTATTAATTGCAATTGGCAAAAGTTGTTCTCTTAACGTTTTTAACTGTGAGTTAAAAAGAGGATTAACTGAAGATAGATCAGACATTGTTGATTTAATTGATGTTATTAACTTAGCAAAATCAACTTCTTTTTCAGTGGTAGAGTTGCTAACAACGTCACAAATGTCATCTACTATATTAGTAAAGTTTTGCAAGACAGTTGCTGCATCTTTTGCAACCACTTCTGACAAACCGAAAGATAAAGTTTTCCCACTGGTTGTAGTAATTTGAAAATTTTGATAATGTTTATGGTATTTCTGAGTACCATCACCATGCAAACAATTGCCTATATTAGAGTTTTTATTTGTCAAATTATTTTTAAGCATTGCTTCAGCAACTTGAAATTGACCTAAAATTGAAGCTTCCTGCATTAACCTATATTTTACAGCGGCTGATGGTAGCCTAGATATGTTCTTTTTTGCTAGTTTGTTTAATACTACTTTTATGACTCCGTTGACACTATTCACACTCACGTTCATTGAAAGAAGTTTCATGATAGTTTCTCAAATGTCATCGCTGTATCTGCCATCTTAAAATGTTATTACTTCCTCGTCATCTAACAAAGAAACCAATTTTTGAAGTTCTTGATTTTCCTTTTTTAAAACGTTTGTCTTATTACATAACGAAACAACTTCATCCTCTAAACTTATAACATCTTTCATACTGCAGTCATTAATATAGTTGGTTTTATTTTGCAAAATAATTTTTAAATGACTCACTTTTTTTCGCAGCTTTATTTTCTTGTTTTTTAATTCAGAAATGAACATTTCTGAATTAAAAAACAAGAAAATAAAGCTTAACTTCTTAAAAATTCCTATATCAACATTGATATAGGAATTTTTAATAAGTTAAGTATTATCTTCTATTTTTTTTTTTTTCAATTACGATATTTTATATTTTGTTTCATTTTTTAATGAATTTATTTCATTTTTTTTTAATTTCCAGTTGAGTATTACGAGATTTTTTTTTTTTTTATTTCAAATTTCTAACATTAAATGATTTTTTTTTTTACTTTAATAGTTCTAATTTGTTTTCAATAATATTGAGCTTTTCTTCTTTTTCACAATAAAGTTTTTTAACATTGTTTAGTTCACTTTCAATTAAAGAGTTTTTTGAAATAAGTATTTGCAGACTGCTTGACATATCTTCAAAATCCTATAGATGCTTAAAATAATCCAATTCTAAATCCATCATTGATTCAAATTTCCTTTATAAATTTTTATTTTCTTTTTTAAGCATTTTGTTTTCACTGATAAGGATTGTTTCTTTCAGAAACTTCAGAACTAATCGATGTATTATTAGGAATATTTGTCACAGGTGGAATAAAGGCTTCACCTAATAACAAATCCAACTTTTTATTTTTGCGTCGTTTCTTTAATTTTCTGATATTATCAACTAATCTATTTATCTTT